AGTAGAGCCAGTGCGAACCTCTGCGAAGCAGAGGTGACGTACTGGTTACGAATAAAATAATAGTTTTCTGAATTGCTGTTACTTCTATCGATTTTATCGAATTTTTGCAAAGTTTGACCTGCAGGGCTGGGAGTTTGCACAGGGGGTGATCAAACATGCTGATTACGAATACAATATTAGTTTTTTGAATTGTCTGTCACTTTTATCGATTTTACTAACTTTTCAGGAGTAATCGAGTATGCTGATTACGAATACAGTTCTTCGAAAGTTACCTATTACTTCTATCGATATTATCGACTTGCAAAGTTCGACCTAGGACTTGGCACAATGGGATAAGTGGGCATGCTGGTTACGAAGAGCGGGGTAAGTGGACATGCTGAGTACGAATACAATATAATATCTCAAAAGTTCTTTACCGATTACTTCTATTGATTTTACCGAATTTTTCGCATAATTTGAGCTGACCGGGTCAGGAGTTGACAAAGCGGGGTAAGTGGGCATGCTGATTACGAAAACAAAACCAGAATAGGGGTAGGGAATTGGCGAATTGGCGCTTAGAAGTGGGCACAGGGAAAGATAGTTCAGGAATAGGGATGCGACTTTTATCATAGTCATTGACAGGGCCGGCAGGAGTTAGGTAGGCCAGCTAGTAGATCGATAAGATGGATGCAGCTAAAAAAAGGATTCTACTGTGTAATATACTATTCTATTTGTAAACGTAGTGCGGATCTTCGCTTTTAGCAGTAGACTTGGAGAAGCGAACTCCACAAATTGATGATCTATGTACATTATAGGTAACTTATCAGCCGTACGAACTGGCCTCACTGGGTCCTAGATGACGCCCAGTCGTTTGTTACGGTACAGCTGCCATGCCATGCATAAGTGGAAGATATACAGGGGGGGAAGGGGGGGGGGGAGAGTACTGTTCGTCCAAGTTTGGCTTGAAAAATTGGTATAGATTCCCAAATCCTTTTTGGTGCAATATGTCCAAATAAGGAATACATTCTAGCATTTTACAGAGGCAGATTTCCAAAGAAAGAAGAATTTCTAGCGTGCAGAGACAGACCTCAAAATGCATTTTTCTGCCTCTGAATAATCCACGGTTCTCGGTTTGATGCTTCAAGCGTATAAATTTGTCGGAATTTACAGACTATTATTGCATTGGTGCATTTATACATCGTTCTTCTAGGGGGAAAACACTTAGAACCGTGGTTGAAATGTGTTGATTATCAAAATCCTCACTAATTTCAAAATATGCTCGTTACCTGCAGACTGATTGTATAACCTGGAACTAACATTTCATTAGCAGTACCTTTCGATGTTAGTCTTTTGTGCAAAATACTCCTTCGAAGAGGAACATCGTCATAGCAAAAAAGGTGAAACAAGGCTAAAACCTTCCAAATACTTGGTGTTTAGACCCAGCCACGGAAGGACTACCGATTTTTCCGTTCATACGATTTCAGCAAATGGTGGGCTGAAACAATTTCGTTTTTTCCTTGGATATGATTTCTTTAGTGGTACACAAAAAATGCTGCAAAAACTACCTCATGAAATTTTGGCCTCTAAAGATAGTAAAATTTTCAAACTCAAACTGAAAAAAGTAAATCTAAATAAAATACTTTAGGTAGAACCGGGCTTATGACATCTATAATCTATGTGGATGTGTGTCGTTCATTCTGGTCATCCTAACTTCTTCATGATCACTGTTCGTCCTGCCTTTATTTATGCGTTTCACTCAACTCGAGTGCACGGAGTTTTCAAACTACAAACTCAATTTTCAATACGACTTTAACTTGTGTTTTTTCTTAGTAGCATTTTCTTTTTACGTGTCTTACTAATCCATGTTTTGTCATTATGGTAGTTCAGGTCTAAACAAATTGCCCTTTTCTATCAGTATAGCTTGTTGACTTGCTCTAGTTGATACACAAAAAAGTGAAACTCATTGATATTCTCCCGGAGTCATTGGGCTCTCCCCGGAATCATTTGGGCAAAGTTCTTTAGTACTATTCCATCAACCAAGCCCCGCTTTGCTTATATCAAGAGCATTTTCTGCTGGCAAACGAGTTGGTATGATTACCACTCCATAGATTACACTAGCTTAATATGATCTTACTCACATATGAGTTATTCATTCTCTACAATTCTTACTGCAATCCATTTGTGTCACAGCACTCTCCTCGGCATACTGGTTTGGTGAGATTAGACAGTTTATCAACCATCAAACCGTTTGCTTGTTTGAATCAAAATTGTTTTGCTGGCAAAAAAGGGGGCATGGGTACCATTTCCATGGAACACACTAATTCAGTTCTGTTGACTACAGTCTTAGAGCAGTCACAATCAGGATTCTATCACACTTCCAATAATCTAGTCCGAATGCTTAGACCCAAACTACATGATGGATTATTGTGGTATTAGAGTATGAGTAACTGTGTATTTTTGTCTTTTTAAGGAACGCCTAGAGCGTATGTAATAAATAAATAAAATAAATAGCTCCTTTCAAAGAAGGCAAATCGGCAAGCCACCAGCGGCCACCTCGTTTGAGCTCTGCACTTCTTTAACGAGCAAACTTTCTAATTATTTTCCCACCGCAAGCGTGGAAAAGCCGAAGCTGCGATAGCTTTGAGCCTGAAAAAATAACTGAAGCTACGCTCGCGGGGAGAGACGCGGAGCCTAGGCGAGTCGGCCGCTTAATGGAAGTGTCCAGGCAAATCTGGGCACATGGCTTTTTTGTCCGGAAACTGATAAGGGGGTCCTGTCTAAGACAATGCCCAAGCGGCAGCGCAAATGATGCGATTACGACTGTCTATTCCCAAGCCCCTCCGCGCCTGCGCCGCGACCCTAACTCACTAACGACCTTAGGACAGGTCCCAGCGCGAACGCAGTGTTAAAGTGAGCGAAGTCATTTGAGGGTTACGGTCACGGCGCAGGCGCGGAAGGGTTTTGGGATGGATTTCTCAGCCGTAAATGAATCTTTGCGCTCCCGCTTGGGCAATGCCTTAGATAGAACCTCCTCATCAGTTTCCAAGCAAAAAAGCCATGGGTCCATTTGCCTGGACACTGCCTCTAACAAGGGAGGTCTATTTGGTCGAAGTGGCCTTTTCGCATGATATTGACAGACTATAGAGAGCTTCGAACGCTGATTCCAAATCTGTCTTCATTATCTGCCGAGCGCCTCTGGACGTCGATTTTAAGCGTTTTTTGAGTTTCAAATTTGAATGCATAATTAGGACAATATTAGTCAGAATTGCTCCAATGTTGATTATTCGAACACTCCATCTGAATGATACTTTCTGTCCAAAACACTCATACTTAATACTGCTCTGTTTGAGCGTTGAAAAGACCGTAAAATTTGGCTTTATTTAGATTATACGTTCATTTTTCACACTATGAAAATATTCATAACTCGGCATGCAGAGGCGCTCGGCAGATAATCAAAACAGATTTTGAATCATCGTTTGATGCTCTTTAAAATGGTATAAGACCCAGTTAGAAAGGCCACTTCGACTAATCGGACCTCCCTTGTAAGACCTAAGCCTCGACCAGCATCCGTCACTTCCAATAAAAACCTTTGATCCAATGGGATTGACGGCTAGAAGGCGAGGCTTCGATGCCTCAAGCTAAGGGAAGATTACGGAGCACGCTCGCGAGAGAGACGCAGGCCGCGTCGCGGGCACGAGTGGTAGCCTTCCAGGCCAGTTTCGTTGAATCAAAGGGTATATTGGTGTTGAAAGGGTTACGGCAGAGGGGTTTTGCTGAGCTAAATAATGGTTGCATTGAAATGTCAATTGCTTATGATTGGAATGGCAAGACATGGTGATATAACAAAAACGGACGCTTTTATGACAGTAAAATGCTAGCCCAGTGGCGGACTCTCCATTTTCATTCATTTGTTCAAGATGAGTGTATGTCAAGAGGTTTTTTATTGCCAGATGGACACCATTCAGCGCATTTTTGTATATTATAATGTTTTAAAAGTAATTTAAGCCTCTAACAAGATATGTATGATTGTCTTATAAGTTGCTCGATCTTATCATTCTTTGAAAATTTAAAACATAAGGGGGTGGCCAGAAATCCGTGAAAATGCAACTGAAGACGTTTTTGTAAATATTTCAATAAGGTTCTGTCAAAAGTCGTCAAACATAGCAAGTGGTATCTCCAGATAGACAGTAAGCTAAAGCATTTTGTTTCTTCTTGAGAGACACGCATAATTCTAAATTGAGCTTAAATGGCGACTTTTAAGGAAACCGCTCCTCTTGACCGTCTCCCGTTTGATATAATGCTCCCGCGATTCGGTGTATAATGGTTAAGTGTAAGTACTAAGTCCTAAGGTAAAAGCCCTGGTTTTACTTTCACTTGTGATGCTGTGAACGTATTAGGAGCGATAATGCTCTATATGATGATTTTATTTTTTAAGTGCAACAACCCAAAATTGTGACGAGAAAAACTAGGTTACTGTGATTTTCACTGCGAAAAAAAATCGTCAAAATCTTCATCGGAATGTAAAGGAAGGATTTCGCTGGATGCTTCGGTTGTCAACGAAATCTTGATCACGCAAAATTGGTTAAGAGGACACCAATGACAAATGTCCTCTCAAGCAATTTATGGAAAGGGCGGAACATGTGGGCCTTTATAAGCTGCAACATCCACGTTCTTCACCGAACTTCCTTCGATGGCTTGGGTAAAGGCACTTGCCCTGCTCTCATTAGCAACTGTAATCTCATGCGAGTGGGATGTGAAGACAGTCAGAACTATTAAGACTGGGTCCACATCCATAGATGGTAAGTTTCATCAAATATCTTCAAATGTAGAGCTGAGAGAGGGAAGATACTTTTGCCATTTCTTCCTCTCTTTCTTCCTCTCTTGTTAGTATAGTCAAAAAGTGCAAAAAGGTAGTTATACGCCACTCAAATTAAGCTGGAAGTAGATTCTGCTGTGATTGTACACCACCGCCTCTTCGTAGTTCTTTCTCGCATATTTTTTTTCAGATCCATACGGATTGAATGACCGTGATAGATGGTTTGACAACTGGTGGTATCCAACTTCATGGCGCAAGTACTGGTACCGTGGAGGAGATAACTTCCGCCAATGGTGGTACAGATATTACTATAACCAATGGCGCGAACGCGAATGGCAGAGACCTGAGGATCGCGATAGATGGTATGACAGGGAAAGATGGTGGTGGCGCCCTGAAGAATACGACAGACGTGGATGGTACGACCGATATGACCGATGGTACAGAAGATGGTCACCCGAAGACGCCTATGATTGGTGGTACAACAAGTGGAGAAGTGAATGGTATCGCCGTTCAGGTTGGTATGGATGTGTAGGATCAACCTGTGGGATCGGAGTAGATTCAAACTGATGAAGATGGCGCTGTATTTAGAGTCACGTCCGTGGTGGTACAGATGGAACGGGTGCTATGAATGCTAATGATTTTACAAGTGAAGAAATGACTGGAAGAAGTGGTGAGCTTAAGTTTATTCTATCTACTAAAAAAGCTCTAGGTAACGTTTTTCTAGTGCAAATTTAAACTTCCATTGGAAAGATTTCAGGGAGTTTTTTCGAAGTATCGTAAAAAATCAATGCTAGAGTTTTGCATAAATTTAATTTGAAGGTAACTCTGTACCTGGGAAATGTGTTTATTTTTCGTGCGTTTTAGTCCAGGTCATACTTCTGGAAACGCTTGCTGGCTACATAGACTTCTTCATTTGAATGAGTACACCGAAGCCTCAGTAATTTATTTTAGATGTGGCTCGTCGACTGTTTGTTGCGGATAGCGAACTGGGAACATTTTATCCAATATGGGATTTTAGTATTTATTATGCATGATTGTGTTAGACATGCTAATTTATTTCTATTTATTTGAAAATAAATAGTTCTTGATGAAGTGATGCCTTGTGTCCTAAGCTTTCAAAACTTCGAAGAAATCTGTTTATGTGTTCTATAGATGGATACTTGCAAGAAACAGATAAACCTATATTGACCAACTCTGAGTCAGGTCCTGGATGCAGTTGGTTATATTAGCGCACACTTGACTTTGTGAAAAACTTTGCGAACTACTTCTGAGTTTGAGTATTATTCGGTTCTGAGCTTTATTGAGAAGCAGTCAGTACATGTTTGGAAATGATGTTTGTTTCATAATTACATATGAGGCTGCCTGTTATAAGACATATTTTGCATCTTCAGCGTGGTCAATTATCTGTTCTGGCTTTGTAGCAAGCTTCGTGCAATCTACGCTACCACTTTTCATCTGCTTGTTCGGATTAAATCCCATTTCGCTTAGCTAAGACGCCATATAATGTAATACGTGAAGGCAATGTTTGCTCAAAACCCAATTTCAAGTATTTCGCCTTCCTGGTCTTACCCTCTAACTGAATCCAAAAAGCACTTCGGAGAGCAAACACGACGGGAGCAGCCTTTTTTCTTGTATTCAAAATACTGACGAGTGAAACAGTCCCCGATAGGTATGAGGCGCCCCTCCCCCCTAAGGCATAAGTCGGGATATTATCCAGCGGACTTCTATTGGTTTCACGTTATCAATCGTGCGAGGTGTGTCCGAGGGCGTCTGCATTCACATGGTACCGAAATCCCAAGACACCAACCTTGCCCAAACCCTGCCTCCAGAATTGTCTTTTTGTGAAAGGCAGGAACAAAACTGATACTCAAGGTTCAAGAAAGGCTTACAGCGTCGCAGCTACTTTTTGCACAGTACAAAAAAAGTCAAGTTGGCAAATTACCAACAATCTTCATTTAAAAAATTTGTCTTGCTAAGCCATTGAATCTATGCTAATTGCTTGCATCTGCAATTTGGCCACCTCGTTAAATCAGTGACTTAAAATAAAACTTATGTCCTTACATATTTGTAAGGAGCCTAAATTGTATCTTTGCAGAAAATTGCTCTTAAGTAGATCTCCAATGCGAGATGTTGCTTGATTCAAAGTTCAATGGATGCTGACTATACTAACAATAATAATGATAGTCCAAGTTGCGATTACTAATTGTTTGTCTGACTGTGAGGTCTAACTCTTTATCGCCCTTTACAGATCCGCCATAAAAGAAGTGTTTGATGTTTCTTTGGCTTGAAAGGCGCATTCAAGAAAAAAGTTCACTTCTGTATTGTCAGAATCACTCTAAGTGTAATTCTTTACTGACAGTTATACTTTTAACTCGTTATCATCCATCAAATTTGAGAGTTCTATGTTGTAGGCGATGATGCAGTACTTTAACACATTCGATACTAGGCTATTTTTCCCAATTCTGCTATTTTGGACCTACGGCTCATGTTGCCTATTTTTCCTGGTCTTTTTTTCATATCGATGGGGTCGTTTCTTGTAAATGGTAGTCTTCTAATCAAAGCCCCTTTTAGGAGTTTCCAGATATGGGCCAAAATTCCGTGTAGTTTAACCATGAACTTGCAGTGTCTAAAATACGACCCAACAAATGGATCTTATGTCCGAAATGGCAGCAATGTACGACCACCGATGCGCCATATTGTTGTGAATGATAGTCCTTGTTCTAAGCCAAAAATTTATCAGGAGTAATTAAATTCGAGCTACACAAGTGAATCAGTGCCCAAATGAGCAAGCGAGCAAATGACGTTGTATACAAGTAAAGTCACTGAGTATTCGGCATAAAGACTGCATGTCAGTCCTGAGACCAAACAGCACTAAAGGTGGCGATATGTAAGGACCCGACGATAGAAAAAAAAACTGCAGTAATGTGAGGTCACTGCCGCGCTTTCACTCTGAGCAATCTAAGTTCTTTTCTGGTGATTCCACGAGTTTGTCTCCATGCGTTTCCGAACGGGCCGGTAATGGTCTCAGAGGATCCAGCTACTTGCGCAGTAGTAGTCGGGGTTTCATTTGACTCAGAGGGTTGCGGTTGCCTCGGCATGTTCACATTATTTGGTGGAATTTGGCTAGTGTTGGAATGTTCTCTATTCTCTTGCGCGAGCTGCTCGATCAGCTCCAATGGCGTGAAATGCGTACGCCTCGGATCAGAAACTCCCTTGAGCGTTCCCGAGTCACTCTTCATTTCGAATGATTGAACACCAAGTTTTTTCAATAAGTCGAAAACCAAATCGTTTAGGACTGTTTCCTTTGCAATAAATGTCTGGAGAGCAGTTGGCCTGACTTCTTGCTGTAGGATCGGTAAAACATTTTCCCTGGAGTCCTCCGTTGAGAAGTTAAGCTGAGGCTTTTTTGGATCTGTAGGTAGCCCAGAATGTGCGGCGGGACCCACCAAAGGTGGACTTTGATTCACATGTAGTCTGGCTCGAAAGTTCTCTGGCGGTGGGCGAGCGTCTGCAGGGCTACTTCCAGAGTGCAAACTTGGACTTCTGTTGAGAATTGGTCTCCTCGATGGTCCCACTTGGGTAACCACCTCACTTACGTCGGTCCCTTCGCGGTTCTGTATGACAACTCTTGGAGTGTTCGATGTTGGTGTTCGTCCTTGCTGATTAGTACCACCACTTAGCAAGGTTTTCGGTTTCTTCACCAAAGTCTTCACGTATCGTCGATTGAGATTCTCGAAAGGACGTCGTCTCCATTGTGTACTTGTTGCGAGGGGTTTTCCTCTTGGCCTACTAATTTTGGCAGGAAAGCGTGATCTCCATGCTCCATTAAAATTTCTTTCACGAAAAACTCTTCTGGAGATTCCGACCGACTCTTGCGGGATTTTTCTGGGCTGACTTGTCTGTTTGCGAATTGGTGGTCTTGTTATCTGAACATGCGGCCTAAATGGCCGTCGTCGGTTCATCAACTTTTCTCGCCCATATCTGGTAGCGATTTTAAGAGGAAGTCTCTTTGGTTTCTGCAGCCGTTGTCGAAATCTCGTGGGTTGTGGCTTTTGACTAACAACTACTCCTGTAAGCTCGTTGCCTTTAGTACTATTCTGCTTCTGTGGAACTTCTTTCTCGCCGTTCTGTAGCCGGTTACCAAAAGCTACTTTGTTGACAGTTAATGAATTGTTGACAGGGATTTCCGATGACGACTGCTGTCGTTGCTCACTGGAAGAAGGCGGAGTTGTCTAAAAAATAAACATTTGATTGCAATGTCCTAATTCCAAAAAAGAAAAAAGATTACCGATGCTGCAGCAGCCAGCGAATCTTTGAGAATATGAGCAACATCGGCTTCTCGGATTCGTTCTGCGCTCTCAGGCGATTCCTTTACCACCGTTGCCATATCGCGCAGAAATTGGGTCAACACCTGTAGAGAAGAATATGTTTAACTAGATCACTGAACTTTCTAGGGACATATATAACTTCCAAATCTCTAAATTTCTAAACCTTTAAATTAACCAAACATTTTTTCACTCGGAGTAAGTCATACGCACTTGCTAATGAGGAATGTTCATAGCTCAATAAGAATTGAAAACTTCCGAAACAGATCATATATGGCTGTCAAGGTTGTGCGAAAAAAAAGGAAGAAGGCTGTCCATAAACGGTAGTACTTTTTCTCCAGCCTTTTAACACATTCTTTTTCATGGTAAGCAGATAATTGGTCTGTTTGAACAGTATGTACTACCAGAAATAAAAAAGGAATTTAAGAGAAACTGTGTGGTCATCACAACAAGTCTAAAAAGCTGAAAACAAGTCTCACATTCTGTCCACACACAAAACTTCTCAGAAAGGTAACGGACATCACCTCAGAGTAGATCTCAGCTAGTCTCGCTAAGATACCTTTCATAAGTAAAATTCGGCTTTTTTTTCTTGTACCGCAAATATCTGAAGGGTCACGCAAAGCTGTATATCCATGAAAGAGCTGGAGCTGTCGCAAATGTAGTGCAAAGGACGAAAATTTTACTACTTTGTCCCTCCGTTTCTTCCCTGTTGATTCCTTCCCACTTGCCCTTCCCCTTGTAATTTCCTTTGGAATGTTCGAAGATGAATTGTGACTGTCCCCATAAACAATTTGTTAAGTTTGCTAACATACCTCATTCAGTGATTTCACAAAATTGGGATCAACAGACTTTTCCTGACTTTCTTGCTTTTCTTCGCTGATCATCTCAGAGGATTTTACTGAAAGTTCACTGTAAATGACGTGAAGATATTGATGTTCTATACCTTCCGTTTGTTGTATTTCTCGCACTTCTCTGGTCCAGTCACCTGAGTTGGACTTGAGCGCTGCATCATGCTGCTGGAAATATAGCAATCATAACAACGAATAAGTCAGCCGTATCAATTTGCTTTGTCGTCCTATGAACACCTACCTATCAGATAGCTTACAAAAATTAGAAATTGTCATACAAGTTGACATATACAACGCCCCTATTTTTTTCCTTTTTTTCGTAATTGAAATAGTATAAAGTGAATTCTCCAAATGTGATGATTAGCCATTTTGCGTGCTTTCGTAAAGATTGTGAATATCTTGCGCAGGAAAGCGATGTCTGGAGATCTCCATTTTTTGGTTTATACTGGCAAAAAATAACCAGAACATCGGAATTCAATTAGCGATAAAAAAAATTGTGGAACAAATGTTGTGAAGACAGCTGCGCCGAACAAAGTTCGGGGCGCACTACGATTTACATGAAAACGTAAAAATTAAAGCGGTATTTTGATGTCTTTAGCCTTTGAATGCCTACTGATATGACACAGGACCTCCATGCTGCTCAAAAACATTAATTAGCTGAACGGAGCAGTTTTTTATTACACTCTCAGAGTTATTACGTGAATGGGACGAAAGAAGACTAATATTAATGCCAATCTATATTTTGTTTTCAGGGAGAAAGCTAACATACTCAGAACTTGGAAGATATGGAGGTCAGATAATTTGATTCAGGAGAAACTTGAATTTTATTTTCATTCACTTCGAACTTTGAGTTTTGTCTACCCAGCACAAGCATCAAGTTGATCAAACGTTGAACCTCCAGCAAACCATATACATCCTTTCTTAACATTCAGCGTTCGGTAACGAAGAACCTCAAAATTGCTTCTAATGAGTTTTTACTGCTCACTTACCTATGCATTTGTATCTAAATTGTATCAAAGTCACTCACGAGGAACCAATAAAGGTATCAAAGATCTTCGAAAACTAAACTAGCGCATGTCAAGGCGACCGTCAACAACAAGAACCCATAAGATCGTATCTTGACCATGTATTGCGTCTGCATAATGTGAAAAGTGACGCTAAAGTTGTAAGATGAAGGTTTGGCATTCGAAAAGGTTTATAGAGTTTTTGGCAGTTAGCGCTACTAACAAATTTTCGAATAGTTGTTCTACTGCGAGTTTTACGTACTGAAACAAAAACTTACTTTGTAGTGTTAGGAAACATTCTGCGCCGAAAGCGATAGTCTAATGAATAAAAGAATTGAAAATCATAAGTTTGAATTATTGTCGAATACCTTACAGGATGATTACACTGTATCGACGATGCCTTTGGATTCGAGCATCCGCAAATTTGAGAAAATATATTTGAGGAATGGCGTACACTAAATTTGACGATAAAGGGTTCTAAAAACTCGTCAAATCCAACTGCTTTCAGAAAATAAAGTAAAAATATCCCTTAGTAGGTGACATTTCCTTGTGTTTTTAGAAGGTTATCTCTAGTGAAACGTAGATACGACAAGATATAGTAAAATCTTCGATTTTTCTATACTCCTCAAACATAGCTGGCCTCAACATACTCTCTATTGGTAAACAAAGCAGAATTTTAAAGTTTAGCAAGAGACAGGATTTTATTTTAGTTTTCACGTTGCCCTTTGAAGTCTCAAAATGAGAGGGAAAACGATTCAACAAGATTGCTCAGTTGTGAAAATGTAATGGATAGTTTCCTTGAGCCAATAACTCATGCTACTTGACCATAAAGATTTTGGATGATTTGTTAAACCCAACTTCTGTCACTGTCAAAATTCCATGGTTCATCCCGGAGAATTTGTGCAGGATTTGAAGCTGTGGAATGTCCTTCACATCGCACCCAAAAAAATGTCGATCAGAAAGACCAACAATAGCTATTATCGCAATTTGAACACTTAAGAAGTGAGGAACATCCGCCAGATGAGCCGTTCAAGGACGGCGTTAGGGCACTTCGTGTCATATGTTCTGTTTTTATTTCATTCCGAGACTAAACTGTTTTTTTATTACTGTAGAAGTTTCGGATGCAATGTTAGAAATCAGCCCATTTGAAATCCGCAATTTGACCGCAAGACTTGAGCAAGTTCAAAACCTTGCTTTTTTTAAAAATGACACATGAATTACAGTTTTGTCCGAAATCTCATTCCCTCCATAGAATAACATTTAGTTCCGTTTGATAGTCAGAACGGAGCTCTTGAAAGGATTATGATACTGATGCAACTAAAAGTAGCGACTGGCCATGAGCTAAAAAAAATTAAAACTGGAATTGGTTTGCTAAAGTTCATTTCCATCTGTAACTAATCGTCACTGGAACGAATTTCTGTATCAGTGCAGAGTGTCTCGAATAAAGTTGATAACTCGTATAACTAGCACTCCATAGCTTCCGCGAATTTTTAGGTATCGGATTGTAAGGCTTACTTCAGCTTGGATTTGTAGCACAAATTGAATCCCCTCTCCTCTTTATCACTGCAAGGTCACGGTGATTTACAAAAAAAATTTGTAGCCTTGTGCAGCAAGCAACATTTCGTAAGAGCTAAAGTCCTCGTCGTTAAGTGACCTAAGTAGCTGATTTTAAGTGTGAAAATCTGCACTTTATTGCGAGTTTTGGCCAGTAATTAAAGTAGCGGTTTTTTTTCTCACGGAAATGATGTACCCTTCGAGCATCTAGAAATGCATAGAATTTTCTTTTGAAATTAGCTTGTTCGACTACTCTAGAAAACTTTCCATGGTGATTTTCTGAGTCGACGATTACATCAACAGAAGTTAATTAGAATTCTACCATACTTTTCGATAGCAGATAACCAAAGATTTGTTCTGTAGTGTGAATTTAAGTTGAAGCCAGACCTTTGGAGCTTTGCCTAAAATTCTGCAAAAAAATGCTCTGAAAAAGGTGTTGACAATCAAATGCTTGGTACGGTTTTTTGGAACGGCCTACGACATACTTAGGAATCAAATTTTGACCAAGGCTCGATGTGAGAAGCATAATTTTGTAATAATAAAAATTTGCAATTTCTTTTTGATACAAAAGCAGTTATGTGGAAGCAAATTAGCCACAAAGATTCTCAAGCTTTCCGTCTGAAAGCTGGCGCCTTTCTCAACTTTTTTGACAAAAATAGAAGTATGCAGATGTTTCATGGAATGCAGCTAATGTGTGAATTGAAGCTAGAGACTACTCCACGGGGCCTTGGAACGTGAGAAACGAAGATGCTAAAAAGCTGTTGTAGCCGAACATTGGGCATATTTTACTGGATCCATGAATATTATCAAAAACGGCTGTTAGTTGGGTACCTTTTGTCTAAGCTTCGATATGTTCATCATCAGAAGAAAGATGCCGAGTTTTTGATAACATTTATAGATTAAGGAAGACTATGGCATAAATAGTTTCAACTCTAACGTTAGAGTAAAGCAAAATTCCAAATGTTCTTTGGTAAACTAGCCGAGGTATTTTTTCTTACTTTTTATGCAGTACGAGAAACTCGCTGTCATTTCAAGAGTCGTACGCTTCGCCTGACCTCTTGCGAATGCACTCGAGGTATTGAGACTTTGTCTTACGTCAGATCTAGGTGTGGTTTTTAGATCTCTATAATAAGAATAATATACGGAGATGTGTAAAGTCAAAAGCATAGATTTTATCTCTACATGCATTTCAAACCATAAAGGAATGACATACCGCTCCAATGGAGACTGCAAGACAAAGTAGATACAAGTATGCCGACCCCCGAGAGCGCATCGAAGCAGGCGATCCGTCTGAAAAGTGTATTATTATGCAGTTCGATTGTCATTCTAATGCTCGAAATAAGAGAAATACAGATTTTGTCAATGTATTTTTGCGATAGGAGCGGAAAATGGTTTTTTATCCGAAGCGAAAAAGTATAAGAGACGATTGATGTCGAGAAAACCTATTCGACACACCTACTGCAATGTTAATACTCAGAAAAACTGTGCTAAGTAGTTGCGAGCTTGGTCAGTGTCCTCGCTTGTAAACGAAAACGAGTCTTTTGTCCTTCACCGCTGCCCTCAGCTAGTAAATTACAGTTTTTTGCATAGCCACACAATGCGAGCAGCTTCAAATTATACTTAAATAATTTTTCGCGCCCTTTTCTGTTTTATTCTTTTTATTTGGCTCGTTGAACAGATATCTGCAACGATGAGTGCGCCTGACTGCGTAATCTTTGAAGTGAAGATCTGAAATTGCGCTTCAGGGATCTTTGAAATACTAATATAATTTGTTCGACTTTGTTGTACGATGAAAAATAAATCCGCTCTTTTTTTTGAAGTTATAGAGTACCTTTATAAGTTGTTTACATAGTGTAAATCTTCTACACGACCCGTAGTCCTAATGTAGCTCAATTTCGAAAAATGAGACTTGACGTAAGTTGTTGATCGAGATAGCAACAAACTCACTGGTAAATGTATCCGGCTACGAATAAGCCCACCGGGAGCTTTGATAAATAACTCAGAATTATCTTACATAAAAAGTAATTTGGCTTGGTGTAGACCAATCAAAAGTGTTTCAACTCTTTCTCTAGTCAAAAAATCAAACATCATCTTAGTGTTAGAAGGAACTCTTCGTTAGCTTTCGAATGGTTTAGAGAAAGACTAGGTTTTCTTGCAGAAGCTACTTGTTCTTGAATTAAAAATTCAAGTCTACAAAAAGTGCAATAATTGCAAGGCTGGAACAGTCCAAAATAATCCAAGGAAAGGTTGTCATATTGCCTAGCACCACTGAAAGTGAAACATCAAAATACTAAATAGCTACCCAACATCCAATCGCTGAATTAATGGAACTAGCATCATGAGCCTTAGCAGTGCTATTATAAAAACTAAGTTAAATGTTGAAATGAGAAGCACAGGATGTATATGAATCTATCGCATATTGTTGCTATTTATACCAGGTACTGCTTAGTGGCAACTTATGGGTTGCACAGTACCGAAAAAGGATGATGTAATTGCAGTGTGAGAAGGAAACAATGCGACCGAGCTCGAACACAAACCGGATTTTAAAACTTTGGGACACCTTAGCAACGAGAAAGAAGTTCTTCAGAATAGCATCGTTTAAGTAATTGAACTGGTATGCGTACCGAATATTTTATTGCATTGTTACTATTGAAAACTTTCAAGAGAAAAACAATCGAACGAGGCCTCATGAAGCAAACGGATGCCATTAGGTCACGCTCTGTATCGCCAAGAATCATGGAGCTCTGCAAAGATTGAGAATGTTTGCGCAATCACATTAGCCGTGACTAAGAACACCTAGAAGTTTTTGAGAACAAATTGCCTAACAATGGGCACTTTCGGAGGGAAGAGGAGTTAGTCAAGGGTGTGAGATGCGATTGTATAGCACCAGAGGACAAGACGGACTAGCTGGAAAATGAGAAGGGATGGAGTGAAAAAGCTCTTGTACATATTTTTGCAAAGTCTGGAAAGCATGGTCAGCATTGCCGATGTTGCTTATGCTTAGCATTAACTTTCTTATTGGTGAAGAGAGAATTTCATAATGGATTCCGACTAGAGTGGCAAAGCGCATTCATTTCATTGAATTGTTTGCTTTCATTGCTTTCTTAGGATTTCCAGTATTCTTTCATCCTTTTATCGGTTCATACTTCTTTGACCTTCGCCACTCAATCGCTGGTCTATGAAAAATGAGATTTTCTTTCTTTTTGGTCTACAACTTACTTCTCAAAACTCCTACGATTTTTATGCAAAAGGTTCAAAACAAGATCACAGACTATATGAAATTCTTATGAAAAAATGCGTTGCGGATGTTTTCTTATAGTTTTTATGCGACTACGAAGAAGCAGAGCATGTTGTGTCTTAAGGAGAGATCGAGAATGTTTTGAAAAGAATTTGACGTGTTACCTATTGGCACAAATTCTATCTGATATTGGGCTGCTTTGACAATGAAACCAAAACGAAGGACGATTGACGATGTACAAGTTGCGTAGCTTGACTATGAAGGAAAAAAAGCAGCGTGGGAGAAGACAAAGTATTTGAAAAAATGTAGTGCGGTGAATATGAAGGTGCAATGATACTAGCTAAAGGGATACGATTTTATGTCACCAAACATCATTTTTTTTATTTGGACAATTTAACAGGTAAATAATGAACTTTCTGAGCCAGAAAGTTCTGTATTAGCAAAAGCTTTTAAACTCATGTGAATGATTGAGTTGGTGCATCATATAAAAATAAAATGCGCGCTCAATCGCAAGCAATATGATTTAAAAGCCGCATTAAAATGGCTTGATGTGTAGATCTAACGATGGATTTGATTGTGATTTTCATTTACTGCTATTTGTTATGTCTTGCGTACGGTCATGCGGCTTTTTACTTCTGGAAAATTCGACATGTTTACATGTTTTTGACGACTGACTGAACAACTAAAATAATTAGAAAAAAAGATGATGTAAAGTCAGCAGCCACTTTTCGATATTAGCAGAGGTTCCAAAATTATATATTTTGACATGGGACGCAATTTGGAAAGACTCTAACACGCAGAACGGGACTTACTACAGGAAAAAGCAAAGCTTAACGGAAAGCCATCAGGCCAGGCTGAAGCCTCTAATATGAACCTGAATGTAATAGCCTTACAGCACAACCCTTACGTTATTTATAGGTGCCACCAAATCTCCGTAAATGGTTGCAGCAAGGTTATGGGAGGGACTTTATGGCTGCTTACATTAGGGGGGGGGGGCAGCCAACATGAACGATAGCTTGTGTGCCAACCATATGCATTGAGTAGGACATTTTTCAAATTCTATTGTATTTGCGCTACGTTGATTGTTAGGATTTTAGAAAAAAACGCTGGGCGCTCGATATGCCCTATTTCTTACTGTTCGGCACAATTTCAATCCGGTAAAGACATACTGCTTCAGAAAAACAGACTTTATGCGCGGCATATTGACAACCGCAGGACTACAGTGCTTATTTCCAGCTATGGTTCATCTTGGGATACATCGCATTAATATAGTACAGATAAACAAATAAACAAAAAGACGGCACTGACATTGTATTTTTAGATCGTAGGAGAAGCAGTGGAAGTCATTGTTGGGAGTTTCACAAACCATTAGGAAAGTGCAAACCTGTAACCGCTTCTTTGTCTCTCTCGTTTTCAAGTAAGAAGGTGGCTGATGAACGAAAGCATAAGAATGAAAGCGCATGTAGAAAAAATGCTTTTGGCTAGTTTGGTAATGCAGACTATTATTTAGTGCATACGTATTATGGATGCCATTCAGAAATGTCATTTCTAACAATTAAGAAACTTTTTAGAGCATCTAGCCCAGCATCTTTATATTTTTTGTAAATCAGCAGAGAAACTGAGATAGCAACAATGCGCAAAATTAGTTGTTCTAGATAACTATCTAAATGTCAACATTCATCAAGAGAGCAATATGAATATGGTAGAAACATCACTCCCGAGTAGATGGCTATTCAGAAAAAGGGTGGTCATGTATGTAAAGCGGGTTATCGCATTACAATCGTGCTATTATCTTAGACTTGCGATCCAGTAACTAGAGCAATAGAGTCGTCACCTGGAAACAAGTACTCAAGAATAAGATCATGGCCGTATTGGTAAGCAAAGAGAATGCGAAAACATTTAACAGACCGATAATTTTGCATTTCTACGTTGTACAGTTGTGGCCAAGAGAGCATGTTAGCAACAGTTCCAGCTTTAAGGTAGGAGATTCCAAAATGAACAGAATCTAGAATATTCGCAGAGGCCCGCACTGGTTCTACTATCTATATACCTTACTCAGTCTCGAGTAGAATGGCATGAAACTCACCACGCAGTGCTCATTATCACAAATAATTATCACAAATAAATTGTAAGCAACTACTCTGAAAGCTAGTTTATATGAGATCGGTAATTTTGCATGGATGGAACTTTTCGCAGAAGAACAAACGCAAATTTGATTCAGGCTTGAACATTTTTATGACGAGATATTCGCCTTAAGGAAAACAATCACCGTGAGCTAGAGGCTGCTGCATGACGAAGGCGCAATACCCTTGGGCGCGGTTGCGGCTTTATTAGTCGCAGAGCGCATGAAGCGCAAAATTTACAACGGTGAGGATACGTGCGCGTCGCGTTCGCGCCCGCTCAACTAATGCTGCTTCTGCTCCTTCGTCATGCAGCAGCCTTTACATAGCTGTGCAAGAACCTAACCTCCTCAAACGCTCAGGTAAGACCCTCGCAAATTCAATTTACACAACCAATATTTTTGGCGACATTTTCGTGAAGTAATAGCCTCTTGATCACTTTTTTGGGCTAAAGACCATGGCTTGCACATACCAAATATAACCACGACTTTGCAAAAAGTGGTAATACGGACCCAGTATTACGCATTAGACGTTAAGTGGATTGGTTTGGGGTGCGGTTTTTGAGGGACTTATGCAGTGGATCTGCTGTGCTTTGGCATGGTGAATCTGGATGTTGGCAGCGTGTGTTGTGCAAAAATTTGCAGCTTGAAACCTCGTCTGCAACTCGTTCCGTAATTTCGTTACAGGCAGACAGACAAGAACACGTAAACACCCTTAGCCCGTTATTATAAGTCATGGAACATATTACATACATATATAGCTCAAATTAAGGAGAATATGGACTGCACTAACTTCGACGTTATTTACTAAGGTGAGTGTCAAATCCGGCATGCAGCTTACAGCGAAAGATCAGTAGATTACTCTGAGCTTAGGTTTAAATGAGCACTTAGCTAGTAAAAGTTGTGAGGGGATCATGAGCTTACTTGATTCCATAGGCAACAAAGCATACAGTAATGATTTCGATATGACTGCATAAGCACAGCTCAAAAAGGAAATGCTTGTTGGGACAGCGTACATTTCGGCCCTAAGATGAACCTAAAAAACGAACAGTTGCTCAATTGTTGGTAAGCTCATTTCCTCAATGAATTAAGTAAGAGATTTTGAGAAACATCAAAATCTAAAGTTCGCGTGGAAACACGAGAAAACGAATGACTGTATGTAGGATGTTCATAGCATGTGCATTTGATCATGGAAGTCAATTTCTGTCCATAAAGTGTTTGAAGCGCATTCATCTACGCGAAGCTTAGATAGATTTAACAGCTATCTAACTAGAAAGATGCCTTCTTTATCTCACTGAAAAATAATTTCATTGAATGTCTGCAACTACATATATATAAGGCTTGCCAGTTATCAAGAAAAATGGTCTTCAGTAAACATTATTTAGTTTGCAGTGCTGAGAAATCCGGGAGTTACTTCCAATATACAACACAGAGCCGCCCAGTATTATCAGACTGGGGAAGGGTACAACCTCCTTTTGAGTTCACTTTCATGATTCTCATTAACAAATAAATGTCGCTCTTTCTTCTCCACATAAACCTCTTTTTAATAGTCTGGACATTTTATTCATTTTATGCAAATGATGAATATGTTTCTATTTCAAACTCAAAGCAATAAGAGCACAATTTTGTTTTCACTCACAACCCAATGAAAAAAGAGCAGATTGACGCCAAGCATAACCCTACAACAAGCAACACATCAAAAATACGACAAATTTGTAAATAGCCTCAGCTTGTATGCGCAGCAAATTGGATCTTAAGGATAGCTGACTCCACGATGACGATTATCAATATCAAGCAAATGATCAAGAAAATTCATAAAAAAAAATTCACTATCAAAGCGCACTCTTCAAGAGATGTAGCAAAGAATGCCTTTAGAAGGATCGTTCTCTTCATCTGCCAATGCAGATTTTGTTTCATTCAAATCCTCCTTTTCGTCAGTGCCTCCCTCGGGAGAATCACTTTCTTCACTTTGTGCAGTTCCTTCTCCTTTGTCGCTTTTCTTCTGGGTGTCCTCCTCGGTAGGATTAGTCTGTTCAGCAACTTTTACTTCCTTAAAAATTTTCCAGTTTGATGGTTTCATAACACTCATCCTCACTAACTTCTTGCGGCAGTTTCTGGATATCTTTGCCGATTCCCGTCGCCATGACGCATCCATACTTTATCGCAGTTTGGATATCTTCAATTATCTGAAATATCGTTGACTTTAGAGGAGAAGAAGGCAGACAGCATACACCTCAAAAAAGTTGCGAGACTGTGAAATGCGTGGGAATGATTCCACTTTTAACGATAAGTCTTTTGAAAAATAGCCATCTAGGTACGTAGTGGCCCTAGGACGCTGAATGAGACTGACTTTTATATGCTAAACGATTTCGAGGGCGGGGGGAGGGGGCAAGGGCAATAACTAGCCGCTCGACTCCCATCGTACATGGTATCTCATATGGCGCTTCTTTTGAAAACGGAAGAACAGTTCATGTGCTAGAAAAATTTCATCAAGTGCAGAAAAGCAATAAGACTATGTTTAAACAGGTACGTATTTTTTGATGCCCAGAAATTGTTCCCGGAGTTTACGAATTTACTGCTTTTATGTTTAGGCAGTAAATGGAATCAAAACCGCAGCAGCGAAGAACACTCTTCGACTTAGTATAATGAGTAATAATCGATAAAGAAAAAATTAGAAATAACTTGCTAGAAAGATTTTTGTTGCAAAACGAAACACGCTCAGAAAATGATTGGTGTTTATGAATTATATAGGGGCCCAGCAGTGGCGTACCCAGGATTTCGGCTCGGGGGGGGGGGGCGCGACAAAAATTTTTTTCTAAAGAAGGTGCGTGGCGTTAGCCACGCACTCAGAAAAAATTTTGGGGGTGCTTCCCAAAATTTTTTCGGGTCCCCGACCCCTAAAATCTGGAGAAAGGGGGCGTGGCGTCAGCCACGCCCCGAAAAAAATTTTTTTACAAGGCTAATTGAATTTTTAAAAATTTTTAAAAATTATTTTAATTATTTACAAAAATAAACAAGTCACCTACACATTTTTATAACCCATATAAGTAACTTTCAAAAATTTCGCGACCCATTCTCGGGGGGGGGGCGCGCGCCCCCCCCGCCCCCCCCCCCCCTCTCGGTACGCCACTGGGGCCCAGCCAATTAACTGCGACTTCGGTCAGCTCTGTACTCATAGGGTAGATCTAAATCTACAAAGCAATCCTGTTTCCATTCTTCCGATTAAGCATAGACTAGCCGACTTCCTTTTTTAACAAAAGCTTGGAGACTATGTTAAATATGTGCATAAAAAGACGTATATAGCAGTAGAATGAGCGACATCCTTTCGTCGTGTAAGTAAAAACCTAACGATGCGGTCTGTAAGAATGTAGCACCACTAGCCAAATAGCTTAAAAAAGCTTTCTATAGATGATAACATAGCTGGCGCATTCGCAATATCTTTCGTCATCGGCAGCGACGGTGCAAACCATGTCGTGACAGATGGGCTTTTTTCCTTAAAAGGAAAAAAGCTGCAGCTTGCTATACGGCATAGCCAGGAAAGGAAGATGCAGCATAGTTCCAAACTTCAAACTTGCGATTTTCCAGCCAGGAAAGGAAGATGCAGCATAGTTCCAAACTTCAAACTTGCGATTTTCCAGCCAGGAAAGGAAGATGCAGCATAGTTCCAAACTTCAAACTTGCGATTTTCCAGCCAGGAAAGGAAGATGCAGCATAGTTCCAAACTTCAAACTTGCGATTTTCCTATCTTGGAAGCCGTCCCTGCCGTTCAAAAAATCATGCAAATTTTACGAGGACTTCTTCGATTGCATACGATACGATGGTTGCAGGATGTAATGTTAAAAGCTCGATGAGAAAAATTCTTTAATACGAAATTACATGTGTACTCTACAGAATGTTTACTTTTCTAGCTTCGAACTGGAACGCAACGAACCCCAGACAAGAGTCATGCCTACATGAGCCTCCAAAAACCCTAGTACAGCTGACATTCCGATCCCGACGCTAAGCGAAATTCAGGCACAATGCTGATGATCTTTCGGCCCTGCTAAGGGATGTTTTTAATGACGGAAACTTTGATTGCCTCAGAAATCGATGTGCACGAGGACTGTGTACGGAGCCTACCCTACCTGTGCAGACATGGAATTACCATTTGAGAAGGAAGCTGCATAAAAAAATGCCTCTTAGGTAATGCAGCTTTCAAACTATTAGGTCGTTTCAAAAGTAATTCCGCTTTTTTCAAACGGACGCCACATTTGATGGAACAAAGTTTCTAAGAGATCTTGGTAGCATTCGATGTAGCATTTCATCCTCTTTCCAATGGTTATGAAATTGTTGCAAAACGACCAGCGAACTTTCAGAAAATAACCAAAATCTGCGACCTATGCTTTTTGACATAGTGAAGTTTCACAATTTTTTGAAATTTCATAGCAGTCCTCGCATGGAGATCAAGTGAAGATTCGATAGAGCAAATCTCATAGAATACAGTACAACTTTTATCTCTTTCTGAAAGCTCGCAATAATTTTTTAAAAGATTTTTTAACAAAGCCTCGAAATTTGGCAGGCCTACATTAGCCAAAATCGCATCAAACATCACAATTATTCGGAATTTGAGACTACCAAGATGGTACTATAAGTTAGCACTAATTTTACAAAGCAAGTGAGAGTTTACGGATTCGAAATATCAAATTTCAAGTTTCACGGGCACAGCTTGGGACTCGTTGGAAAAATGAGTTATGAGGATTTTGGTTCCGAAGACTGAACGAATCGGAAACAAAAACAACTGTTAGAAAGAGGAGAAAATGCTGCATCAGTGGTGCGCGAGCTGCTCTTCTTTTGATGTTCTACGAAGATTTAGCTCTCCAAGTATGGAAATCAGTAGCATCAATTGAAATTCTGTTAAAAATGAATGGCAAGCTGTGGAAAGGGGAAAAAATTGTTTTGCATCCTGTAAGGTTTACTTCATAGACACTTCTTCACAGTGTTGATATAAAAGTTTAGAAAAATTGTGAAACTTGACCATCTCAGAAAGCATAGGTCGCAGATTTTGGTTATTTTCTGAAAGCTCATTGAATGTTTTGCAACCATTTCATAATCTTCAGAAAGAGGACGAAATACTGCATTGAATGCTGCCAAGACCTCTTACAAACCTTTGTTCCATCAAAAGTGGCGCACATTGGAAAAAAGCGAAATTACTTTTGAAATGACCTAATATTTGCTGTCAAACTCGGACAGGTTATATGCATAGCATCCATTGGATTCATAAGTGGTATAGCCTTTAGATTCTTTGCTCTGAACAACTACAAGCAAACTATTGCTCTACACTCTACTATAATTCGCGTCAATTAACCACCTAAGGAACTTAGGGAAAAAGTGGAAGCCGTACGAGACTTTAAGACACGGTGAAATTCTAGTGTGCGTTTGCAGCCTTCTTTGAAGTTTTTCTTTCACGAAGCTGCAGGCCTATGAGAATAGTGAACATGAAGAGCAGAGCACTGCTCGAAATGACCTTCATACACAAGAAAGCAAAGTGAAAATTCCTCTCAGGAAATGCCTACGCGTGAGCGAAACTAGCTGTTCTGCCACTTGAAGAAAATATCCAGTTGGAACAGTTCTGCCATATGGTTTCAATAATTCCTGATTACATGCATTCTCAACGGATCTGCATATTCCAATGTTTTTCATGGAGGTGATGACCTCTTATAACGAAATATCTTCATTAAAAACAAATACTGCATAAATAAAAGTGTAGATAATTACTCAAATTTTGAGTTTCCTATGTTTGATACATAGATTCTAAAACGTAATGAAAATCGAAATATTTAGTATTATATGAAGCATTTTATCATATGCTTCTTCTGAATGAGCAGGGTTTGAGTGAATCGCATGTTTCCCAAGTTTCCCAAATTGAGGTTCCCGAGGAAAATGCCAAAAAATCAAATCCACTACCTTGTACAACATGCCTACAGATTTGAAAAAAAATGCGCAAGTAGCTCATTCAAAAAGCAAGTGATAACGTATAATATCGACCATATTGCTTCAATTTTTACTGCAAATTTTAGATCTTTACAATCAAACATAGATAGAAATTTGGGAAGTTTTTCTTTATATGCCAAGCGGAAAGCCGTTTTTCTTTGAAAAGGACATCAGCTTCATTCGTACCAGAATTATAAGAATGCAGGTCCGTTAGAAAAACAAGAAATCATGAAATTTCAAATGTGGTGTTACAGAACTTTTGTTGCAATCTGATTTAAAAATAATAGAAAAAAGGGTACTTTTCCCTTATCCGGACCCATTTTTTCAATGGAGGATACTGCTTCTTTCCTTGCATCATATTTGTTCCCAACTTCATAGGGAAGAGCGTCAACCTTCTGCCACTTGCCAAAAAAATTTGACATGCCATCTAACTGTTTAACAAGTTTTACCAGGAGTTCGCCCTACCTAGTGATATAAGTTCAACCTTTTTTGGTCAATATTGACCTTATTTTCGATTAAAGAATTTCAAAAATGACATTGTTATAATAATAACGTCGCTCATATCAAGGAACATACTAGACATGCCCAAAATAGAGAAGTGCGCTAGGGTTCCATCGTCTAAGCGGCGAAAAGCAGTAGCGATACTACTTCAGGCCATCAATTGTAGACTTTTCTGGCTAAACTCGCATGGCGGAAAGTTTGGAAAGAAATACATACTTGAACCATTGCTAGAAGCAATCAAGGTATTCTAGTAATGGCTCTAGGTTGTTTTGCTCTTATATAAATCAGCTTGACAGCTTCTAAGGGTTACAAATGCTCTTTTACCTCACCGGAAATGATTTCGAAAAAACATGTCAAAGTGGTCCAGAACGTGTGAATTTTTTCCTGACACGTGGCGAGGAGGCATTCCTCGTAGAATCTATGAAAATTTGTACTTAGACTACAGAACGTATTTTATAAGAGCTTTTTGAAAAAATGGGTCCGGATAACGGAAAAGTACCGACGAAAGTAACAATTCGAATTTCTAAATTAAACCGCAAATTGAATGCTACCTATTAACAAGTTTAAAGAAGATCCATCGAGAACCGGTATGTCGCGAAAATATTGGGCAACTAATGCTTCGAAAGGGAAAGACCATTCATATATCCACCCCTCAGAGGGTCAAAAGGGCATAGAGGCGTGCTTCAGGTGAGCCGAGAAGTACCGCGCATTTGTCTTCTCTAACACTAGCCTACCCGGCAATTGTTCAAAATACTGCTCCTTACTTTTCCTATAGTTTCCTTCCATGAAGCAACTAGTAATTTGGCGTCTTCTTCGCCAATAGTGTCGTTGCTAAAATTGCTTGAAATATACATGTTATGAAACTTTATTACATGCAATTAAACTCACTACGGAACCGTGTCATCAAAAACAACCCCAGTTTCGTTAAATTCTCCGTGCTCTAGAGCTGAAGCCAGACGATCCCGAGCTTCTTTCACATTGTCGCAGTCATGGTTCTGAAATGCAAGACTCTAACAGGGCAAAGATGGCAATTGAATTGACTATATTAACCTGGATCACTAAAGGTAATGTTCACCCAGATTTCCCAGTTCACACCAAAAAGACCAAGCAAATCCTCCCCAGATGCCACGCCAGAGGACCGCAATAACGCAGATGCCTTTCCTCCTATTCCTAGGGGCTGACTTTAGGTTAGGCAGTAACGTAGGCAATATGCGCTTGCGCTTAGAAAGTGCCTAGTTATAGCCCTCAGTTTAGCCAGCCTAGTCTAAGCTTATAGTAACTTCTCGATTGAAAGCCTCACGTGCCAGATTTGCCTAAACGCTGCTTCAATGAGAACAATAAGTCCAAGGGGTTTCCGCTAAATATTTTCTCATTGTTTCATCAAAACAAGATTCGTACTTCAACGCGAACTTTCTATATATGGGATTGATTTCATAGATTTGATTTCAGGTTGTTGTTAGGTGTTTTAGCATTTGTTGTTTCATTATTTGTTTATCATGAGGACGCTGGGCCTCGTTCGATTATACTTGCAATGTTCCAAAATTTTAAAGTTATTATGATGCCAGTATTAGTAGAAGTGGCTCGGCCGCCAAGAAAAGTGCTCAATCGGTTTGCAGAAGTCAGCCTCTCTTGTGGCTACGTCTCAACTCAGCTAAAATCCAAAATGGAAAGCCTTACTCAACTCTTATTTTCTCCATTTACGCACTCTTCAAGGTGATTTCGGGGAATTGAGCAACGGAAACTCTACGCGGAATATTTGGAACTCGATTACCAAACAACTGCTTCTGAAATTAGGCCATACAGTCCTGTGCGTTCCTAGTGATTGGATGTAAGGATTTACAGAACTTGCGTTTGTAGGTCTTTCGTGTTCGTAGCTTTTTCATTTTCGTGCTATTTCTTAATACGGTTAATTGGCGGGAAGATTCAAGGTGAAGCGGAAAGAATAGTTCACTCCACGAGGTCTACCTCTCGATTTGAGGTTTTATCCTACAACGTTTTAGCCGCCGAAGTAAACTTTGCAGAAAGCGAAAGTGTCAAAAGTGTCCAAGACTTATCTAAGAGGTGTTGTAGAAACCCCTTACGATCAATCCCCAAAAATCAGCACTTGTTTCGTTCTTTTGCGAACCATATGACAGTCGTTATTTGGGCTAAGAAGGTCTCACAAGTAGGGCTCGGCACGCTGGCATTAGGTCAAGCTGAGTATCTTTTTGGGACGAAAGTAAAGGTGTATCGTTTTTGTGGCCGTAAAGACACAAGCATTGCGACGTTTTTCTAGTCGGCGTTCTGTTTCCTAAGGTTTTTGCGTTTAAGGTCTAGGATCTAAGGGACTTCGTACAAAATTTTCAAGAGAGGGAGCTTCGCTTTGTAATTTCCCTGGTAGCTCGTGCCGAGCCCTGCTTACTTATCCTAAATACATTAACATCCCTGCTGGGGAGAGGATCGCAGCTCAAAAGAAAGCTTCATATCCTGAAGCTCCATATATCTGGATTTCATGTTGTTTACCTATCCTAGTTCTTCCTACTACTCTTTACTATGAATATATCGAACAGGAGCGAGAAGCTGCACAAGCTGCGTTTTCCAGTTCTTTGTATGATGTCCTGATGATCCTCCCAGGCACCCGACCCTCCCTTCATCAAAGTAATTCTTCTTTCTTCAAAGTTAATGAAAACATGCCAAAGTTCCACTGATTATCTAACCAAACAGTGCTGAGCGTGATTCCGATAAGAACAAACGATATTTCGATGTCATGAAAATTGAATGATCCACAAGTCTAAAGTTGGGGTTTACCGAAAATTTCGAAATTGCAATAACTCAATTGTTCTTATTAGCAACAATGCTCAGCACTGTTGACTTAACTTAAGATAACCAGTACAACTTGAATGTTTTCACTGAGAAGGAGGAAAAATGACTTTGAAGAAAAGAAGGTCGGGCGCCGGGGATTATCAGGATCATGCAAAAAGCTTGAAAACGCGTCTTGTGCAGCTTCTTGCTCCTGTCCACTATGTGACGTAGTGAAGGGTAGTGGGAATACTTACGGAGAGACGGACGGCGTAAAATCCAGATAACTGGAGCTTTAGGATTTGAAGCTTACTTCTAAGGCGATCCACTCTCCAGCGGATGTTAATGCATGCCGCCCTTAGACTGGTCTTTCAGAAAGATAAATATTTTATTAAAACTAGCTTGAGACGTCTATTCCAAATAGTAACCCTAGTTGTGGCGCATTATTCTAACGTAGCTATGAGCTTTTTCCGGTGCGAAGTTTGTACACTGATTAACATGAAAGGACTGCTTGTGGATAGAATTCGGCCTGCAAGAGATGCTGAATCGCCACAAAAACGTTGGATTGAATCTTTCGTCATTATCAACAAAGTCCCGGCGTAGTGACTCAAAGTTAGTTATCAATACCATGAAGTCGGCAAGTCTCTGATTGTGCGACGACTGCATTGTATTGTGTACGCAAACATTGCACAGAAACGAATCAGTAACTCGAAATAACGCGGCGCAGCTGAAAGTAACATATTTGTAATAAGCATTTCAAGGTGATTTCAGTTTACTCTAAGTTCACGAGTACAAGACCACCGGTTTTTTCCTGGGCTCGGCCAGCCTAAACACACAAAATACTTTCGTGGCCAAAGGACTTTCTACTGCGCTACCGACTATTTCACACGGCACACTGGGGCAGCCGAACTGCTGGGACCTTGGCGACAGCCATGCCCCCGAAAAAAATTTTTTTTATCTTTTGAATGAATATCGAAATTCTTAATCTGACATCCGGTAAATCGGAACACAACGGCTACTCCTCATAGTACTAAGGAGAAAATTACAGGAGACAGGATTTTGGTGTAAAAACTACCTTAATTCTTGTTGATTTTGTTTCAGGTTTTCTTCTGAAGAGTGCACAAAGTTCCTATGGCTGCTTTTCAAAGGTAGGATTCAGCGCGATGGAAAGTTTTAAAAGCTACGGAAAAAAGAAACACAAGATTCAGCGGGGTGCTGTCTTAATCTGACATCTCAAAGTTGTGCTAGACATAGGAAGGGGGTAAGCTATCAATTAAAATGTGGCAATTCACACCAATAATGTGTACGTGGCTGCATTGTAAAAAAGCAAGCGGGTGATAAAGTACTTCTGGAAATTAGGCAGTGCCTAACAGTATCTTCAACTTACTGCAGTTCGTAAAGGCTATAACGCTTCATAGGGACATCTTAATGTGAAGCGCAGCAAACAAGAATAGTGAGAGCACAAACTTAAGGCGTTAATTATCCGCGATCATCATTCACCTCACCTTCCTCTACTTGAGTATAGCTCGTAAGAATTATGAATACGTAAGTTCAGTAATGCTATCACAACAAACTTGAAGTATTGAACTAACCCAAGTCCTGTTAGAAACAATTCTGAACTGCCATTCAAGCAGACCATTCATTGTTAAATTATTGAAATTCAAATCGCAGGTGAGGTTGTTTTCAAAAGCATGTGCCAGTACAGAAGGTAGCTGAAATTGCTATCTTTCACCAGAAACCCAGGATAAGGGTAGACTTACAGCAAAGAAAAGTAGGAGCTGAGTCATACTCGGTTGGCTAGCAAAGCATTTTCGCATTGGTCTATATATTTTACAGCTGAATAGTAGCTACCCTGTACAAATAAGTGTGGAAGGGATTTCGCTTTGTTTTCTGCGTTTTTCACGCGCTTTATTCCAAGTGCATTTTACTGTTCAAGCATCATAATTCACTTCATCGCTGCTTTTTCATCTGCTGCTCAGCAGTGTGAAATTGCAAATCATGATTATTGTTTCATTGCAGGAGTCTGAATGACAGATTATCTGCCCATCAATTTGATGCGGTGTTATGTTACTCCTACGCTTTCAACTGGTTGACAGTACCGGACTGAAGGCAATGTTGCAAACAAAGTCTCTCAATAGCTGTTCAGCATTCTATTTGCAGTGTGATCGCAAATGTTTGCTCGAAGAAAAACCTCATGCTTTTTTGGGTTCATTCGGACAATTAGTGACTTCCCCAACGTGTAAGTCAGTCTTGAAGTCTCAGTAAGTCTTGAAGTCCTAAGTTGCCGAGAGATGCCGCTGGGAATGAAAATCTCGCTAACTAAGCTAATGGCATATTTCTCGAATACCATCGGTCGATCGCCCTCATCAATTGCAAAATGGTGCTGTGTTCATGTGTGGAAGACAAATATATGAAGCGTGCAAATCGCCGAAGTTTGCCAAAACTGTGTCATTGCGATGATTCGCCTCAGAGTGGACTGAGTCTGAATAACGAAGCCTTTTAACTCAACTTACAACTCGCAACTTTTGCTTTTCAGTAACGTTTGAGTAGGTGAAAGTAACAATTAGTCAGGTGTCAGTTGCACGAATGTTTTCAGCTTTGTGCATACCGTAGGTCATAGGCTACTCGGTATGCTGACCACAATAGAAACAAGCATTAGTAACAAAGAACTGGCTACCTATCGTACAGCTACCGCAGAAACAAACACATCTGTATGCACGGTATCCCGAAGGTGAATATGTTCTCATTGTCTGATTGTTGATATCTCTCTTCCCAAAAGGTCATTTGCATACCATCAAATCCATTCTATAGAGCTAGCTTCAACTTACAATTAGATTTACAACAGGAGCGAATCACCCTGCTGTAAATTTAAGTAGAAACCAGTCTTAAAGGAAGGCTTCACTTAGAATGCAGCAATCTTTCTTCCTATTGTAAAGTTACGGTGAGAACTTCCGACATGGCGAAACTGGGTTTTATGCAGCCGGTTTGAATAGTTTTCAAAAAAGGGCTCAAAAACTTGCGTAATAGGGTTTTTCCTCTGAGTTTGATGCTCAACTTTGTACAAGATTGTCAAGCTTCCCAAACGGCATAACCATAATAAGGACATTGAAAAAGCGGCTGCTATTGCTTACCTAACATTTTGAGGAAGCTTCAAGATGCAAACTTTATAGCTAAAATTAGCAGTTGTAATTAGCCTAGCGTAAAAGGTCGTTTTTTCCATTAAGGTGCTAAATATGCCTTTATAGCTTAAAACTCCTCCAAAGTTTTTGCCTTAGAAAGATAGCTTGATTCTTCTTCTGTCCATTTGAACAAATGATAACAGCGGGCAGGGTCATCGACCATGCGTCACTGAATTTGATCGCGATTTTGGACCGTAACTATACCAAAAAGTGTGGTATCAATTCAAAATTAGGGTAGCATGTAGATCATACTTCTTCAAAGTTCTATATTTATTGAAGATCGAATGAGTTTTTGGCTAAAGAGTGACAATCATATCCCACGAATTCAAAAATTCAGATTCAAAGCAAAAATTACGAAGAGGGGCTAATCAAAACTGCTCTTGCTTGCTGAGTGGGATTTGAACTACGATTCAAAATCCCAGATCTCATCAACGAGGAGTAAGAGGAGTAATGAAAAAACATCAGGCTTTGTTTACATCATTATTTTGGATTAATCACCGATTGTACGCAGTTTCTGTGCCACGTTTTCTGATTGCACTCTGCTTCGCCGCAGCAAGTTTTTATTTTGCTTAAAAAACACAACTTTCTTTAGCAGAACTGCTGACTGGCTACTTTCAGGATATTTTAAAGTTACTACCACAATCCTCGAGCAGGAGAAGTTCCCTCAGAGAGCGTTAAAAGCTAAGAAGGGATATTCAAAATTTTACACACATTCTTCATATCTATATTAAAGAGTTGCAGTATTTGATTTTGATGTGGAACGCGTTGAGCCGTTGACAATTTACTAGAAAAACACAAGAGTTCCCCCTCTGCCTATCGGCGTACATGCCGAGGGTTCACTAGGAATAACTAGAGAACAACACGCACAAATATATCAAGGTGCGGCGGGTACGCCGCAACCACAGAGACCATATCAACCTAGCCTATAGTGAGTGAGCAAGTTCCAATATAAGGGACGGCTCTACAACACCTCCCTCCTAAGATGAACAACGGTACATCTTATAACAAGGATCTACTTGTAGACGTTCTGGTGGACGACGATGGCGACTTGGTCTGGTTGATGTCGGTGGTGTAGAAGAGGTGGCTTGGCGTTCAGCAACATCCATACCATTGTTAAGTCGGTCTTCATCGGAAGTGGACTGTGTCGAGTCATAATGTCGATCCATACTTGCTGCGCGGCGCATCTGGTTCGCATGACGTCTCCATAGCTGACCGTCTTCAGTAAGCACGCCATATAAGGCTTCTCCATAGCGTTTCTTCACTCGAGCTGGAATCCATTTTTCACATCCAGAGCGAAAATCACGTACCCACACGGCTTCTTGTGGCTAGTACGCTCTCTGTCGTGCTCCATGGTGGCGGTTGAACTGCTTCTCCATGTTTTCATTGCCCATTCCTTCTTCTTTGAAGTCTTCATTCAGCAGCGACAGTGGTGTCCTTATCTGACGTCCCAGGAGCAGCTCGGCAGGCGAACGTTGTTCTGGAGCAGTTGTACAAGGCGTCCGTCGATAAGACTGCAGAAACTCCGCGAGCTTCTCTGCCGTTCCTCCCTCCTTAATTTTCTGGAAGGTTCTCTTGAAGATATCCACAAACCTCTCCGCTTGTCCATTTGATTGTGGATGGAATGGAGGCGAACGCATATGCTTGATTCCTCGCTCTTCACAGAAATCCTGGAACTCCTTTGCTGTGAACTGCGTCCCATTATCCGACACGATCACTCGCGGATTTCCAAATCGTGCGAATAGAGATCTGAGTTCCTTCAGAGTAGCTGTAGTTGACGATGAAGGCATCTCAAACACTTCTGGCCATTTCGAGTAAGCGTCAACTACGACGAGATACATCTTACCATTCAGCGGCCCTGCGTAGTCAATGTGAAGTCGATTCCATGGTTTGTCTTCAACTTTCCATGAATGCAGCAACGTCTTCACTGGCATTTTGGAAGCTTTTTGACAATCTCTACAGCGGCGCACTGAGTCTTCAATTTCTCTGTTGATGCCATCCAATAGGCGAATCCTCTCGCGAGCATCTTCATCCTTGTCATTCCAGGGTGACCCTTGTGTAACTGCTTCAAAACTGCTTGTCTCAGCGAAGCTGGAATGACTATTCTGTGAGCGAAATACAAACATCCGTTCTGCACTGATAAATTCATCCTCAGTGCTCTCCAATTTCGGATTCCTTCTTTCGGCTTGGACGGCCATGCTCCCGATTGCAGCATACGTATAACTTGCGCAATGGTTTCGTCCTTCCTGGATTCTTCTTCAATCCTTTTCCGGGTTACTGGTAACGCTCGTATAGCAGCAGCTTGAACGGCTCGCACATCTTCTTCTATTTTCGCTATGACGACGTCTTCGGTTTGGAATGGCCGTGGAGGGATTAGTCGAGACAGTGCGTCGGCTTGTCCGAATTCGGTCGTCTTGCGATACTCCAAGTCGAAGTCGTATGCGAGTAGAATGAGCTTCCATCGTTGCAATCTGTTCGCTGTGTACACAGGCACCATCTTCTTGGGTCCAAAGATGTGTATCAGCGGCTTGTGATCGGTAAGCAGTCTGAACCGTCGTCCGTATATATAGCGATGGAACTTACGAACCGCGAACACCAGGGCTAATCCTTCCTTTTCGATTTGTCCGTAGTTCCGTTCTGCAGCTGTGAGGCTTCGGCTTGCATGGCAAATAGCCTTCTCTGTACCATCCGGCATCTTGTGCAGAATCACAGCTCCTATTCCGTAGTCCGATGCGTCGGCAGCAACCAATATCTGCAATTTCGGATCGAAATGTGTGAGAAGTAGATTTGAGGCTAGAACCTCCTTGGCACGCTTAAATGCATTTTGACACTCTTCTGTCCATTCAAACTTCGCGTCCTTTTTGAGCAATGCGTCTAGGGGTGCACGAAGTTGGCGCATCTCTGCTACGAACAATCCATAGTAGTTGATCATCCCGAGGAAGGATCGAACATCCGCTATGTTCTTCGGAGCTGGCATCTGTTGAATAACCTCGATCTTCTTTGGGTCCGGCCGGCGGCCGTTTTTGTCGATGATGCAACCTAAGTAACAAACCTCTGACATCAGAAAGTTGCATTTTTCCAACCTGACGTGGAATCCATAGTCCTTGATTTGTTTGAACAAGGCTTCCAGGTTTTGGCGCCTCTTCAAAGCTCCTTCCGGTGATGATGATATCATCAAGATAAGCGGCAGCTCCATCAAGACCGCTTATCATGGAATCCATGATCTGTTGGAATATACCTGGAGCCGATTTCACTCCAAAGGGAAGACGATTGTATCGATACAATCCCTTGTGCGTATTGATAGTTAGCATCTCCTTCGATGCTTCCTCAACTTCCACTTGTAGATATGCCTCGGCCAAATCGAGCTGCGTGAAGAGCTGACCTCCATTGAGTTTGGTGAACACATCCTCCGCTGTGGGCAATGGGTGCTGATGCAGCTGCAATGCATCGTTGGGTCCTGTCGAGAA